AAAAAAAAAAAAAAAAAAAAGCCTCTAAAATCTTGAATATGAAAATTGCAACTCACTTAAAATAGGATAAAACTCATTTTTACTTATTAACATATCTGAGTGTTCATTTCAGGAGACTTAATGATGAAATATACTTGGTTTTCCCTTGCCTTTTACTTTCAGGGAATCATGCCTAACCAATATGGTAAAACAACAAAGAGGAGCTAATCAGAATTTAGGAGCAGAAAGCCCAAACTCTGAGCTAGTTAATCTTAACTGCCAGAGTTCTCTTAGTATTCCACAGCTGTAAGCAGATATTATGGCTGTTAAAAACACAGGCACTATCCTTGTGGACCTGTCATGTAATTAAATAAAATACTCAAGATACCCGACAGATTCCATGTTCCCATATATTCAACTAGGGATCTCAGAATCCTAGTTAGCCTAACCACTTTTCAGACATTCCAGGAGCTCCTAAGTGTCATTCGAAGAAAAAGAAAAGTTGCATGCTAAGTAAGTGATTCTGTGACTAGAAGTAGTTATACACTGATAGGTTACGGACATGACAAAAATCTTTTAAAAAACTTTTATCCATCCATTTCTAACGTCTCTCAATAGAAAGAAAAACTGAATCAGTTATGCAGACGATAGTTCAAAAGAGAAGTCATGGTGTACCATTCCCCTATAAGTCAAAAAAGCATGACCATAAAAAGAAACAAACCTCTGTTAGACGAATCAAAGATTCCAGCTGCCTGGTAGTGATTGGTGAGCTATTTAACCGCTGGCTCTGTTTCCGGAGCTCAAGGTAAAAATCTTGAAGGACTTGAGCAGCTTCTGTGGATAGCCTGGTGTAGACATACTGTCGAGCATAGCCAATGTACTTTCTCAACAGCTGGTGGGGAATGGGATCTATTATTTCTCCAGGAACCACCTGAAGCATGATTAAAAGGACCAAGATAACACAGACAAGTAGCAAATAAAATCTGTCTGCTATAATAACTTGTTTAGGCCAGGTACAGTGGCTCACACCTATAATCCCATCACTTTGGGAGGCCAAGGGACACATCATCTGAGGTCAGGAGTTCGAGACCAGCCTGGCCAACACAGCAAAACCCCGTTCTCTATTAAAAATACAAAAATTAGCAAGGCATGGTGGCATGTGCCTATAGTCCCAGCTACTTGGGAGACTGAGGCAGGAGAATCGCCTGAACCTGGGAGATGGAGGTTGCAGTGAGCCAAGATTGTGCCACTGCACTCCAGCCTGGGTGACAAAGGGAGACTCTGTCTCAAAAATAAAATAAAATAACTTGAGATAAATATATAATTCTAAAAGAATCTCCAAATCAACCAAACACTATATCTGTAGCTCTCTTCCTAGCTGACTTAGATTTTTTTTTTTTTTTTTTTTTGAGAAGGAGTCTCGCTCTGTTGCCAGGCTGGAGTACAGTGGCATGACCTCTGCTCACTGCAGCCTCTGCCTCCCAGGTTCAAGCAATTCTCCTGCCTTAGCCTCCCAAGTAGCTAGGACTACAGGTGTGCCCCATCACACCCAGCTAATTTTTGTATTTTTAGTAGAGACGGGGTTTCACCATGTTGGCCAGGATGGTCTGGATTTTCTGACCTCGTGATCCTCCTGCCATGGCCTCCCAAAGTGCTGGGATTACAGGCGTGAGCCACCGCGCCCGGTCGACTTAGATTATTTTAAATGAAGTTTGAAACTCTAGTACTGAAACGTTAAAAAGTTCTGGTAAAAAAGTTTATATCCTATGGCTCTACAATAAGTACTCTATACACTGAACTTTGACATTCAAACAGAACCAAACTGAATGATTAAGGAGAAGAAACATTTATACCTTTAGTCTTTCTGATAGTGGTTTCTCAGAAACTACTTCAAGTACAGAAGTATTTGAATCTTGACTACTCATACGAGCTACTGTGGCACTGCTAACGGTTCTCTGCTTTCCAGCTCTTATTGCAATCACATGTTCAGAGAGTAAGTGATCATGATGCTCATTTGGAGTATCTAACAGGATAAAGACCAAATCAAATCTGGATAGGAGTGCACTCCCCATTCTACAAAGCATGAAAGAAAGAAGAAACAATGATTGGAATCAAAAAGAAAAACCAGAAAACTGTTTACTCCCTTGTTTACTACTCAAGTTCCATGTAGAACTTGAAAAACCAAGCTTTAGGTTAAAGAAATAAGCAAATAGCTTTTTGGATTTGATATATTCAACCACTGCAACATGGGCACAAGAATGACATGTACCTAACCTGGGTAGATTGAGGACATGGCCCTTTCTCACACCACCAATGCCACTGACTTCTTCTTCATGTCCTATTATCACTAATTGGCAATACTGCTACATGACGTATCAGAGGTTAGCTAGTTCAGTAGTTTGTTCATGATACTATTAAAAACAGAATCCAAGTCCCCTGGATTTTTGTTTAGTAGATCTTTCTGATTTTTCTAATATAGCACTTTGTCATTTTACTAAAGAACAGCTACTAGTAGGTTGACTTTTTGTGGTGGTGGTAGAGAAATACCCTAAATTTCCAAGTATAAGTTGTGTATTTCACTATGTATCAAAGACTATTTCTATATTGATACATTATTAAACAATAAAAAATTAGCTCCACCCCCACTAAAGTGTCTAATTTTTCAAGAGGCACTCTTTTGTCTCTCACTTTTGTATCACTTACATGCATTTTTCCTTTTCCAAACATTTTGTCCAACCTATACAGAATGAATTAGAAGAGAAAGCATACATACAGATACAAACACTGGTTTTGAAAAAAGCGGGACCATGCCACATATTTAAGTAAGTTAATGTGCTCTTCTCACTTAACAGTAAAGCACAGCCATGTTCACCTATTAGTACATACAAAGCCACTCTTGTTCTCATAATCACTACTTTCCACTGTACAGTGTTACCTAATTTTAAGGTGTTTCCAACTTTTGGCAGCGATAATGCTACAATACCCATGCTATAAACCTATCATTGTGCACCTGTGTGCCTATCTCTTTGAACAGTAGTCGTAAAAGTAGAGTAGCCGTAACAAACAGAATGTGCATTTAGAATCATGATTAACACACCAAGGTATCCTTCAAAATACTAAATTGTGTTTGTGAGAAAAAAATTTTTTTTTTTTTTGAGATGGAGTCTTACTCTGTCACCCAGGCCAGAGCGCGGTGGCACAATCTTTGCTCACTGAAATCTCCATCTACCAGGTTTAAGCAATTCTCCTACCTCAGCCTCCCAAGTAGCTGGGATTACAGGCAGCTACCATTAAGCCCAGCTAATTTTTATATTTTTACTAGAGATGGGGTTTTGTCATGTTGGCCAGGCTGGTCTCAAACTCCTGACCTCAGGTGATCTACTTGCCTCGGCTTCCCAAAGTGCTGGGATTACAGGCATGAGCCACAACGCCCAGTCATTTCCACACTACTTTGCAAATAATGTTAGTATTTAAAATGTCTGCCAATCTGGTGAATATCAATGGTACTTCTTGTTTTACTTTGGAGTGTTTAAGCACATTTTTTGTGCATTTGTTGGACACATGTAACCTCTGTGAACTATCCATATATTTCCCATGTAGTTCTGAGAGCTATTTATTTCTTTTTCTTATTGATTAGAGTGATTCAATCTTAAAGGTATAAATATTTGAACAGACTTACTTTAAATTCTCAGAAACTGTTTTGGCTTTATTGTAGTGTCCTCCTACTGGATTTGCAGCAGCAATAATGGAAGTTCTTGCAGGAAGGCTGCAAACCACCCCAGCCTTAGCAAGACTAATACTTTGCTGCTCCATGGCTTCCAACAAGGCTTGATGTTGATTCCCCATCTTATCAAATTCATCTATTCCACAAATACCTACAATCAAAGTAGAATAATGCAGACAAATTTTTTTCTTTGGTTGAGTTCCAAATTTTATAGGATAGAAAATGTTTCACAATAATTATTTCCACTTGTTTCAGCAGTTAAAATTATAAAATGTCATACAATGGAGAATTATTATTTGTTTCACAGCAAGTAATACACTTCTCTTATTTAACTAAGTTTTGTGTAATAGTTATTTCTTTAGCATTTTTCATAGGCAAGGCACTATGTTGTGAGGATTACAAAAATGAAGAAGAGATAAGAGTAACCCTCAAAATGCTTAAGGACTTAAATTCAAACAGGTGAGATTTTATACACACATACATTTAAGAAGTATATTTCAAAACCTATACCATGTATTGACTATATACTTGTAAACACATATAGGGAAATCACTTAACCTCTTTAAACATATACAATGACCTCGTGATCCACCCGCCTCGGCCTCCCAAAGTGCTGGCATTAAAAATTTTTAAAAACCCTCCAAATCACCTTCACTTCTAGTTAATGAAAAGTTTCATGATTTAATAATTATTACCTTTTTATTACTATATTTTCTTCACCTGGCAACTTAGCAAAGAGATTCTTACTTCTGATGAACTATATAATAACCAGATATATGTTTTATGTATTTTTTTTCAGCAAATACTTACTGGATATAAATGCAATAAATTTATAAATTCAGTAAACTGCATGCCCTTTATATACCAGTACTATGTTCTAGGCATGCTGGATATGGTAGTGAAAAGACAAAATTCCCTGCTTTTGTGAAGCTTACGTTCTACTCAGCCAATGCAGGGTAGGCAATAAAAAGTAAACCATATAGAAGGTGAAAAGTGCTATGGAAGGAAAACGTAGAGGAGGGTAAGGAGAATAAGGTCTGCTAAGGTGGCAGCAGAGGCAGGGGAGGTTATGAGTTAAAATATAGTATTTAGGGAAGGCCTAACTAGGGTCAGGACATTTGAGCAAAACATGAAGGGGGAAGAAAAACAAACCTTAGCAGCTCTACCTGGGGTAACAATACTCCAGGCAAATGAAACAGCAAGTACAAAGGCCCTTATGAGGAAATGTGACCTGCCTGGTGTGCTGGTGGTGTCCAACGTAGGGCCACTGGTGGAGCTAGAGAAGAGGAAACAAGGGAAGCAGCAGATAAGGAGGCAAAAGAGGTGAAAGGCCAGAACATGAATGGCCCTGGGGCACTCTCAAGGCTTTGGCTTTCACTCTGAGCGAGATGGGCAGTTACTAGAGGGTTTTGAGCAAAAGAATAACATAATCTAATTTTAATGAGATTATGCTACTGTATTAAAAATAACAGGAAGGGGTACGGGTGGTTACAGGCATGCCAATTGGGAGATTACAGTAATAATCCCTGTGAGACAGGATGGTGCCATAGACCAGGGTAGTGAAGAAGTGGTTAGATACTGGATATGTTTTGACGGTAGCGTCAACAACATTTGCTGACAGATTAATGTGGGGCATGAGAAAAAGTCAAAGATGGCTCCATGTTTTCTGATTTGAGCAATTAGAATGAGAGAGTTGTCATTTACTGAGATGAGGAAGACTGAAAATAGATTTGAAAGGCAAAATCAGGATTTTAATTTTAGACATGTTAAGTTTGAGAAATTTGTGGAGATACTGTGTAGACAATAAGAAGTATGTGCCTGATGTTTAAAGGAAAGGAGGTAATAAATTTAGAATTTTTCAGATAGGTAGGTAAAGCTATGAAATGATATAAGATCACCAAGAAGGTAAATACAGACCAAGAAGACAAAAGGTCCAAGAAGTAAGCACCTTAGTTAACAACAGGTAAGAGGTCATGGAAATGAAGAACCAGTAAAGACTGAGAAAGAAGTAAAGAATGAAGTAAAGTGGCCTGGAAACCAAGGAGAGCTTCAAGGATCTCAAAGAGGAGGGAGTGATTAACTGTGTCAAATGTGGCTACCAGGTACGAGGTTCAGAAATGTGGAAGTCACTGGCAAACCAGAAAGAATAAATGACCTTAACGGGACTGGAATCTGGGTACTGCCTGACACATGCATGGGAACGTGTTTTTTCAATAAGCTTAAGGCCCCACAAAGAGAAACTTAGGTGGCAAAGCCCAATGTAGGTTTCTTCTTGCTGAGCCCATGCCTGGATTTCTTATCACCTGTTACTCAAATCCTGAAAAAAACGAGTTGGGTTACAATATGGCAAAACTATTCATTCTGAAGTAGGCCAGGTGCGGTGGTTCACACCTGTAGTCTTTAATCCCAGCACTTTGGGAGGTGAGGTAGGCAGATCACTTGAGGCCAGGAGTTTGAGACCAGCCTGGCCAACATGGTGAAATTCCATCTCTACTAAATATACAAAGATTAGCTGGATGTGGTCACGCACACCTATAATCCTAGCTACTCAGGAGGCTGAGGCACGAAAATGGCTTGAGCCTGGGAGGCAGAGGTTGCAGTGGGCTGAGATTGTACCACTGCTCTCTAGCCTAGGTGACGGAGCGAGACTCTGTCTCATAAAAAGAAAAAAGCATCTAAAGTAACATCTCTAATCTCTTATTGCAAGTCTTTCGTGAGCAAAGGATGACATCCATCTTTTTGTCAGTGCCAAGGTTTCTAAACTATTCTAAACTAAATAATATAACACATTCAATATGTATTTACTGTATGCCTATGTACTAGGCAATGGGAACATGGCACTCCACAAGACATCCAAATCTCACCTTCCAGGGAGCTTACTATAAAGCTTCAAAACAGGCTTAAAAAAAAAATGATCACAAATGTGACGGGTGGTATGAAATGGGAAGTTTAGGGAGCTATACATATTTATTTGATTTTTATGCATACTTGTAACTGCTATAAGATTCTGAAAATGAATGACATTAAGTACAGTTTCAATTCTATCGTATAAAAATGATGATACTGCATTTCCAATGATTATTTCCGACAGTGTCAAGTCACTGGTTAGGACTGCGCTATCTAAATGTCTATTAAACATAATGTAAAGAAATTAACTGAAAAGGAAAGGCTTTTTAAAAAGCCCCAGAATCACTAATTATTCCTTTTGGCTTCTCACCTTGATCACCAAGTACCAGGGCACCAGCTTCCAAAGCAAAATCTCCAGAGGAACTATCTTTTGAAAGAGTTACCGTCAGACCAGAGGTGGTTGTGGTGTTACCACAAACATACACGCCACGTGGAGCAACATTGCACACTGCCTAAAGAAACAAAAAGTTTAAGAGAATCATCCAAAATAAAAGGGAAGTAATAGCTAACTGTGATTGTTCACAAACGTTAGGTATATTCTTTTTTTTTTTTGAAACAGAGTCTCGCTCTGTCTCCCAGGCTGGAGTGTAGTGGCACGATCTCCACTTACTGCAACCTCTGCCTCCCGGGTTTAAGCAATTCTCCTGCTTCAGCCTCCCGAGTAGCTGGGACTACAGGCACCTACCACCACGTCCGGCTCATTTTTGTATTTTTAGTAGAGATGGAATTTCACCATATTGGCCAGGCTGGTCTTGAACTCCTGACATTGTGATCCACCCGCCTTGGCCTCCTTTTAAGAGCTTTACATTACAAGGTGCACCATCATCATCAGAGGAAGGTATTATTATATCCTGATTTACTGATGTCAAAACCAAGGCCAACAGAGTGAATGAGGAACTATACAGCTATGAAGGTGGAAAGTCAGGATTCAATCAAACTCAGGTAGTCTGATTCTGAAGTCTGTGGTCATATAAATACTCAATGCAATTCCAATTTATCCTTCATTTTCAAGTTCAAAAAGCAAAAACACGAGTACCAATTTTAATTTTGAAGGTTCCAATGTTTCTTTAAACATTAGGTAATAAAATGGCTTAATACATGCTCACCTTCTCAGTAGACAAGCTACAGCAGGCAAGAAAAATAAATAGCACAAGAGTTAAAAGTAGCCAAGATCGCACCACTGCACTCCAGCCTGGGCAACAGAGTGAGACTCCATCCCAGGGAAGAAAAAAAAAAAAACCGTAGCTCTCTGGAGTCAGGCAGACCTGTTTAAATCATGTACCAGCTGTGGGGCTCTCAGACCTCTCTGAGCCTCAGCTTCCTTATGTTTTATCACAGCACTGCCCTAAAGAATAAGTGAAATCATGTATGCAAGGCACTTAATTTGGTACCTGGCACATAATAAGTGTCCAATGTAAAACCGCTGTGTAAGGCAGTGCACTGCCCAATTCCAAGGGACAGTATTCATATCTCAAACACCCACTGCTATCCTATGGTGCTGGCTCAATAAGTAGTAATTATCATTATTTTTGTTACTTATACACTTTATTAGTCTTTATAAGAAATCTTATAACACAGAGTATGACGGTTTACTAAGTAGTCAGAAGAAAAGAGAATTAAAAATATAAAGTAAGTGGTTCATAACTATTGGTTTTAGCTTAATTTTTATTTTGTTATATTTATTATTTTTGAAACAGGGTCTCACTTTGTCATCCAGGCCGCAATGCAGTGGCACAATCATAGCTCATAGCCACCTTGAACTCCTGGGCTCAAGTGATCCTCCCACCTTGGCTTCCCTAGTAGCTGGGACTACAGGAGCATGCCACCTTGCCTGGCTCATTTATTTTTTGTAGAAACAAGGTCTCACTATGTTGCCCAGGCTGGTCTAAAACTTCAGCCTCCTGAGTAGCTGGGACTACAGGCACATGCCACCACACCTAACTTTTTAAAAATTGTTTTTAGAGACAGGATCTCACTATATTGCCCAGCTGGGTCCTCCTGCCTTGGCCTCCCAAAGTGTTGTGATAACAGGCATGAGCCACTGCACCCAGCCTGTTAGTCTAGTTTTTAAAAACCCTGGCTTAGTGTGGCTTACATGTCATACTCTATACTATTCACAATGTTTAATTTCCATTAATATGTTACAGATTCTATTTTTAAACTGAGCCAAGGGTTTTGAAGGCATTATTCCAGGTCTGAAAAACAAGAAAAACTGCCAATGTAACTTCTTGGTATTAACACTTTCAATACCACTAGATATATTTCAGAACAACTATCTGGCAAGAAACATTTCTTGAAAAAAAACAAAAGAGCAAAAAAATGGAAGTTTTATATACTGCAAGCAATATGTATAAATTATGAGATTTGTACAGATAATAAAGACACTCTAGGGGTTAAAGCAGGCTCCCACCTATAATACATTAATTCCAAAGTTACACGCACATGCACATGTACATCACAAAAGGCAGAAAAAAAGCTGTAACAATTCACATCCCCACCTGCACGTTTTCCTACATATTCTAAATATACTGTTTTCATTTTTTTTTTTTTTAAGACAAGATCTTGACTTATTGCCCAGGCTGCGTGCAGTTGCACAACCATGGCTCCCAGCATTCTCCAGCTCCTAGGTTCAAGCAGTCCTCCTGCTGCAGCCTCCTGACTAGCGGGGACTACAGGTGTGTGCCACCATGCCCAGCTAATTATTTAATTTTTTGTAGAGATGCGGGGGTGGGGGGTCTCACTTTGTTGTCCACGCTGGTCTTGAACTCCTGGCCTCAAGCAATCCTTCTGCCTCGGCCTCCCAAAGTATTAGGATTACAGGTGTGAGCCACTGTGCCCAGATTCCTGTTCATTATGAGGCTTGTTTTGTTTCACCTATAAGGGGTACCCTGTACCTCAGTTGTCAGACTTGTAGCAAGGTCTCAGGGCAGAATTTGGTTTTTAAAAAGTAGCCTCAGCTGGCCAAAAGGAACCGAATATATATGGAATGTCTTAGAAGGAATGAAAATGATGACTGGTTTAACACTCAACCACAGGCAAAAAAGGATGACTCTGATACGAAGGACAACGGGTTTACAAGATCAAAGCAGTTGTCAAGCCTGGCTGCGTATCAGAATCATCTGTGGACTGCTGTATACATACAGACACTAAGACCCTAACATGAAAACTCTTAACTCAATTGGCTTGCTGTAGGCTATGGTATTTTCAAAGAGCTCCAAAAGTAATTATGATGTGCAGCCAGGGTCTCAATCCTTGGACAAAGATTCAGGAATCACACTACTACAACTTACCAAAGGGCTAGGGAAGCCCTGGTCAATTTTCCGCATTGAGTGGGACAGAAGGGGATCATAGGCATTTTTAGAGAGCACACTGGCTGAGCGCAGTGGCTCACACCTATAATCCCAGCATTTTGGGAGGCTGAGGCAGGTAGATCTGCTTGAGCCCAGAAGTTCAATACCAACCTGGGCAACATAGCAAAACCCCATCTCTACTATGGGGTTAGAGAAATGGTTAATATTTCCTAATAGCTGATGTCTCAACAGATCAGGACGTCTATACGGCCTGTGTAACAGGAAACTGGCTCAATTTAAAAATACGGCCAGATATAAATTACATATTACTCACACAAACTCCAATTCACTTATACCACCTAACCATGTCCTCTGGAACACACATACTATATGCTTTGAGAAAATTCACTTGTGAATTATTCATGCATTTTGCAAGCAAAAGACCAAACGTTAAATGACTGATTTTCTACCTGGAGCATCTGACTTTTTCCTAAGCCTGGATCTCCAACAACAAGGATGTGTGGGTCTCCTCGAATTGGAATTCTGTTTTTGTCATCTGCGTATTTCTGGCTTCCTCCAAAGAGTGCTAAGGCCAAGCCTGCTTTAACAAGCTCAAGTGCGAAAAAGAACAAAAAACAGAAGTAAGGAAAACATAAAGATGACTAGCAAAGGGGTCCCCCTTCTATGACATTGATTTGTTTGGGGATTGTTTTAAAAGGATGATTGAATGTTAATTCTTTTTTCTCAGAAAAGGAAGTCTAAAAACAAACTTCTATGATATAAATGATTAAAAAGTCAAAACTTGAAAGGATATAACATCAGAGAGGTATCTTAGAAATTACCAAGACCTACCTTGCAAAACATCAATCCATTCCACAAAAACGAGTAACATTTGTTTCTGCTTTAGTACTGGCAGTGTCTAGTCACTTTAAAAGCCCATTTCTTACCAAAAGTAGCTGGGTTGTGGTGGCGCATGCCTGTAGTCCCAGCTACTCAGCAGGCTGAGGTAAGAAAATTGTTTGAACTTGGGAGGCAGAGGTTGCAGTGAGCCAAGATCACACCACTGCACTCTAGCCTGGGTGACAGAGCAAGACTCCGTCTCAAAATAATAAAATAAAAGCCCATTTCTACTTACTCTAATTGGTAAGAGCTTTTTCTTAAAAGGAGCTATATGGCTGACATGTATAATCCCAGCACTTTGGAAGCTAAATTGGGTGGATCACTTGAGACCAGGACTTAGAGATCAGCCTGGGCAACATGGCAAAACCCCATCTCTACAAAAAATTAAAAAAAAAATTAGCTGTGCATGGTGGTGCATGCCTGTAATCCCAGCTACTCAGGAGGTTGAGGTCAGGAGGATGACCTGAGCCCCACAGCTCAAGGCTGCAGTGAGCCATGACTGAGCTATCACACTCTAGCCTGGGTGACAGAGCAAGACCCTGTCTTAAAAAAAATAAAATAAATAAATAAATAAAAGGAGCTGTAGTTTGCTTGTCTCCATATCATTAATTTATGAATAAAAATTCGTAGCATAATATAAACGGCCAACAGAAATTTGCTACTTTCTGGAAAGTCTTTATGTGCTATTTTTGCTAACTTTATATACTTTTTAAGTAAAGATTAAGTAAAATACTTACTTCATGACCAAAAATGACAGGGCAAAGCGAGCTGAAAAACAGAACACAACTTATAAATTCTAATTTATACTTCACCAACCCATTAGGAGATCTCCTTTACAGTTTGTTTAACTTCTTGCTTTATTTAATATCAAAAGACAAATGTAAAAAATTTACATCCCCTCAACTCAAATTTTATTCCTACACTAAATTTCTCAAAATTCTTGGTTAATCTATAAAGGTTAGAATGTTTAAAAAACTGCCTGCATAGGGAAAAGAGGATACTTGCAAAGCATCTTAAAGTAATCAAATATAACGTTGCTCTTACAGATCTAGCCTTAAAATGCATCACAATCATGCTCTTCCACTTTAGGATTCAGGATCATACTGTATTTTATGTGAATAGACATCTTTAGACCTGTGCAGCCAAGTCATTGAAAGGAGACTAAGGAGTGAACTTAGTATATAATACTGTAAGATGGAATATAATGCCATTTTTTTCAGTTCAAGTCAAAGGATCAAATTAAATAAATGAGGCTGGGTACAGTGTTTTGTAGAACCAGAAAGGTGGGATAACTCAAAGTATGGGCTTCCCGGCTACAGGTAAATTTAAACATTTTCTGGTTGACAATTGGTTGAATTTGTCTAAAGACCTGAGATCAGCAGAAAGGAATATTTGGGTTGCATAAGAGGTTGTGGAGACCAAAGTTTTATCATGCAGATGAAGCATTTAGCTAGCAGCCTTCAGAGAGAACAGGCTGTAAAATGTTTCTTAGCAGACTGTTGTGTTGACATAAATGCCTGAGAGGTATAATAAGGCACGTCTGACCCCCTACTTCCCTTCATGGCCTGAATCAGTCTTTCAGATTAAATTTTAAGAGTCCTGGCTGAGGAGGAAGTCCATTCAGATGGCTGGGGGACCTTAGAATTTTATTTTTCATTTACAGGTTCATGCCTGTAATCCCTGCAAGTACTCTGGGAGGCTGAAGTGGGAGGATCACTTTAGCCCAAAAGTTCAAAACTAGCCTGTGCAACAAAGTGAGACCCCAGTATCTACAAAAGAATTTTTTTAATTAGCCAGATGTAGTGGCACATGCCTTTAGTCCCAGCTACTTATGAGGTTGAGGTGGGTGAATAACTTGAAGCCAGGAGTTTGAAGCTACAGTAAGCTATGATTGTGCCACTGCAATCCAACCTGGGCAACACAGTAAGACCCTGTCTCCAAAAAAAATGAAAAAGAGTATAAAGAAGTACATTTACATTTGTCAATTCTATAAACAAGAAACAAACAAAAATAGGGTGGGAGAGACGATCAGGAGTAAAATGTGCGTCTTTATTCCCTTTTAATACATGTAAACACAGAAGGAGGTGGTATCGCGCCTGTATCCCCTTGGCACTTACTGTTCAGTATGCTCCTTCATAATCACTGCCAGCTTCCTATTGGCATCTGCACCTGTCTGCCAAAGACCTTTCTATGGCCACACAGGCATCATCAGCAAGGCAGGATGGGTGGGCCAGAAGTGCTGAGGTGTTTAACACTCTTGGGGGCAGACCCAAATGCAAGCCCTTAAATGGAAAAACACTGAGGCTAGCTTTACACAGTGGAGTGTTCCATTGGCCCAGGAAGATTATGTCCCAGATGCTAGTGGGTCGCCTGTTTGTTAAGGCACCATACACTGGCTGCCATCATTTCCCCTTTTCCCTACCAGTAACTCCAGAATCACCTCCCAAGTAAACTATGTTGACCCAAGTCATTGCTTCTGAAGGAAACTAAACTAAAACATAAACTTCCACTGTCACCTAGGAGGAGTTGAAAAACTTTTCCTTAAAGGGCCAGAAAGTATTTTCAGCTTTGCAGGCTGTATTGTCTCAGTCACAACTACTCAACTTGTAGTGTGCAAGCAACTATGAACAGTAATGTAAGTAAAATGGGTGGGACTGTGTTTTAATAAAACTTTAATTACAAAAACAGGCAGCCTCCCCAGTTTGCCAATCTCTGCTAGGCTGATAATGAAGGACTATGAAAAATTCTAGTTTTGGTGCTGAAATCACAAACATGGGGAGGAAAAAACAAACTGGGGAGAAAAAAACTGTGGGAAGAAAACTCAAGTATTCCATACTTACTCTTCAGTAAGTATGGGAGAAGAAGGACCACTAAAAATGTTCAGTTTTAATTTCTAACCATTAAGAGGAACCAAAGATGTGTTCGAATTCTCAACCAGGTTGCTTCCTTGGCCACCTGCTCAAAGGACTCACTCCCAGACCAGCCCCCAACCCTAGGTTAGAGCAGCCTCTCTTCCAGGGTGGGTGTGGTGGCTATTTATTCAGAGGGAAGTCTCTGAGAATTTAAGGACAAAAAACCCCTGTGGAACACTATTCTTTACTCAGTCAGCTAATTAACATATTAAAATAAGAAACAAAAAGCATCAAATCCTCTTATAAATGTGAGCCTAATGAATAGCAGAGAAGATAAGGTGCCTTTTTGTGTATGTGTGAGACAGAGTCTTTCTTGCTCTGTTGCCCAAGCTGGAGTACAGTGGCATGATCACAGCTCACTGCAACCTCCACCTCCCAGGTTTCAGAGATTCTCCTGTCTCAGCCTCCTGAGAAGCTAGGATTACAGGCACCCACCACCATGCATGGCTAATTTTTGTATTTTTAGTAAAGACGGGGTTTCACCATATTGGTCAGGTTGGTCTTGTACTCCTGACCTCAGGTGGTCCACCTGCCTAGGCCTCCCAAAGTGTTGGGATTACAGGCGTGAGCCAACGTGCCCAGCCAAGATCACATTTTTTTTCAGATGGAGTCTCACTCTGCTGCCTGGGCTGGAGTGCAATGGCGTACCTCGGCTCACTGCAACTTACACCTCCCAGGTTCAAGCAATTTTCCTGCCTCAGCCTCCCAAGTGGCTGGGACTACAGACATGTGCCACAACACCTAGCTAATTAAAATGTTCTCAGTTCTTTACCTCTCTTAGATATATCTATTATTCAGTCTCTCTCATTTTCTCCTATTTCTTCAAAATTATCCCCAAAATTGTCAAAAAATTATCAAAAGTAACAACACTACGTTGCGGTAATTATGGCAAGTACATCATAAAATTCTACTTAATCTTTAAAACAACCTTCTGAGGTAGGTCTTATTATTTATATTTTAAGGTGATACAAATAAAGGGGAAATTAAGTCACATGTCCCAGATTACACTGGAAGTAAATGCCCAAAGCAGGAGCCTAACTTAGGTTTGTCTCCAAAGAAAAGCTCTTAACCACTAAAGCAAAAAATGCCTATATTTCGCTTCCTCTCCATGGCATGGCAATAGCATGGAAATAAAACTATCAAATACTTATTGAATATAAGTGACTTCTATTTGAATCTCTATGAACACCACCCTACATACAACTAACTGAAATGGCTTTGGAATTCACTGTTCCCTCCCTCTTCTGTTGAGCAACAAACTTCCTGTGTAAGATTAAATATTCCTTATTGTTTAAACAAGAGATCAGCAAATTTTTTCTATAAAAGGACAGAGCAAAAATATGTGATCCATATAGATATTCTGTTATAACTATTCAACTCTGCCACTGTAGCACAAAAGCAGCACATTATGTAAATAAATGAGTGTGGCTGTGTCCCAATAAAACTTTATTTTATGAACACTGAAATCTGAATTTCACGTAAGTTCATGTGTTGTGAAATAGTCTTTTAATTTTTATGAACCATTAAAAAATGTATAAATCATTCTTATTCTTAGTTCATCTGCCATACTCAAGTGGATGGTGTGCTAGATTTTGGTACAAGGGCTATAGTTTGCTGACCATTTTGATTAGTTTTTTTGTTACCTGTAGCCAAGAGACCCTCCAACATGCATCTATGTAATAAAATTTCAAATAACTGCATCCATACTTGACAATGAGTTTAAACAGGTTCTCTTCGGCTTGAATCTCCTGGATGGCATAAAGATCTTTGAGTGAGAACTCCATCAACATTCCATGCTTACACCCATCCTCAGAAGTCTTTGTTTTCTGTCCTTTGCTATTACTAATAGAATTTGCTTCAATGTACAAAAGGAACATGCACTTGTCATTCTTATTTCGACAACCTGTAAATTCAAAGTATTAAATATGATAGTTGGTATTTTCATTTTCCCTACAATGACTCAACTAGAATATAAAACAAAGTCATAGTGAGCTATATAAATAAATGTTTCTTTAAAGGGGACATTTCATCTTATGTAAGCAACAAGAAATCCTCAAATTATTTGAGATTCAGGAGCATCTTAGAAAAGAAGAATATTGACAAATCATTATTGAGAGACAAATAATGAAGAGTTGTACCATACCTTCTTCAGCATTTGAGACTTTGACAATTCCAGTAACAGTCACTGTGTCTCCTGGGACACAGCTATCCACAAGATCATGAACAAGCTCACATTCTATTGTTCGTGGAATCCGACCTGCTTCTCTCTGATCATCAGACATCAACTCCTGGATTCTAAAAAGTTAAAATAGTTTTCAGTTAGAATACTTACTTTAGACGGTTTCTGTGAGATATTAACTATGCAGGGTCCATACGATGCTGAGCTAGATAAAGGCAGATTTGTTTATGAACAGTTTAATGATGTATTTAAAATTACTTCAGCAGTTGCCAATTCAAGGTGGCACAATGAGCATATGTATTTGCCTAGCCTCCCTCCAAAATGTCCACTGAAATTAGTCACTAAAAATTTTGTGGTATGTAGAGGTATCATCAGCAAATGAGATATTAATGAAATTTTTGAAAACAGCAAATAGTAAAATGCTGATGGAAAAAACAAAATGAAGTCCAGAATACACACAGGCAAAACCTATAAATGTACAAGAAAAGTGAGAACCAGTGTTCTTAGCAGAGCCTCAGAGAAGCTTCCAAGTTGGATGTGGCAGGAATGGAAGGCAGGAGTGGATGGCTGAAAGAAAACAGGAATAATCAATTGAAAGACAAGTCACGGAATAGCTGTTCACAATTTCGGGAGAAGGTGGGTGGACAGGTGGGTAGGAAAGACTGAGTACTTTATCATCTGGCAAAAACCAGAGCACTGTTCTAAGAAAACAAACCCCTCCCTTCTGTGAAGGGAGCTAAAGTGTGCAGTGAGAATCAGAGCTTCAGAATAAAGACTCTTTGTTCTACCATTTGAAAACCCAAATTCCAATTCAAAAACACATTTATAAAGCAAAATCTGATAGCCAAAACCCCCATCTTTGTATTCAGGGGTGAAGTCTTATGAGAAAAAACTACTACCTATAAAATTACAAAGAAAATCTATCCTACCTACTTCAACTACTTTCTTATTCCTCAACAGACATTTGAAAACTAAATGGCAATAATTTAGGGAGCATTAAAAACAAAAAACTGCCTAGGAGTTTTGAGAAAATATTACCATCATAAAACAAGAATAAGCTGCTATTAAAAGGGAACTATAGGAAAACAAGTACAAAATCAAGAAAATTTAAAGTATGTATGTAAAAATCAAACACTTGTAGAGAGGATATAAGAAAAAGCCAAACAAAACTAGAAAACAGCACAAAGAAAATGAAAGGGTGAGGAAAAAGTTAAAACAAATGAATAATCCAAGGGATACATCTGATAGGAAGCTGAGAAAACAGTCAGATAGTGTAGAGTTGAAGACAAAAGATCATGCCCATCAAGCAGGACAGAGACTAGATACACTCTCACCCTTTCAGAGCACCATAGATAAAATGGTTACAAAGAGGAGGAAAAGTCCAGTCCTCAAAATAATGACCAGCGCCAGACCTGTCATAAACGGCAAGGAAAATTAAAATCAAATCGACTTCAAAAGCCAGGCAAACTCTTGGCCAGACTAAGATCCAAATAAAGACATTTTCAGACATGCAAGTGCTTAGAACTTTTTACCTCTCATGCATACTTTCTGAAAATTTACCTGAGAATATTCCTTAGAAAAACAAAATGTGCAATGAAGGAAGATCCCAGGATGAAGCAGGAATGCAGGTCTAGAGAACTATTGATCCACACTCAAGCAGGAGGAAGGTGTGTTTTTTTTTTGTTTGTTTGCTTTATTAGAATAAAAGGTGGATTCCATATATTTCGTAGTATTGAAGAGAGAATGGAAAATTATGGTGAAATGGTACAGACATATTCTAAGATGTAAAACCAGCACTTACAAACCTTAGGAAAAATGAAGTACTAAACAACAAAGTTATAGTCTAAATATGATGCACACTAAAATATGGAATAATTCCAAATAACTAGCAGAGTATAAGAAAACATAATTTGATGCTTGGGTCTTTTCATTTAAGGAGTAAAAACCAACAAAACAAAACAGCAAAACCCAGTGATGTAAATTGTATCTCCTTTGCCTGGCGTTTGATCACTTTACTTGGTTCTTTGTTGAACTTCATTTACATCTTTATGTTAATAAAATGGGAATGGAAAGGAGTAGAACGACTGTTGTAATGAGGACTTATCAGGCGAAAAGGGGTGTTTGATACTGGGACCGAGCTGGGGATTTCATGTTAATAATTCTGGTAATAAAGTTAATAGCCCCTAAAATGGAAGAGATACCCGCCAAGTGGAGCAAGAAGATGGTAAGATCCACAGAGGCTTCTGCATATGCTAGGTTACCTACTAAAAGCAGATAAACTGTCTAGCCGGTTCCAGCACTGGCTTCTACTATTAAGGACACAAGCAGGAGTAGAAAAGATGGGGAGAAGTCAGAAGCTCCTATTACTTATGTGGGGGAATGCCATATGAGGCATTTTTATTAACATAAAAATGTAAAGGCCTGTTTATTGTTTTTGTTAGACATGACCTATAAATAAAGCCTGGAAGACAATTATAATTAGAAGACAGAAGGTAAACCTTAAGAATCCAAAGTAATGCCAGAACTGAGAAAGTCTAGGAGTGGAAGATATAAGAACAAGTATGTTTCTAATGTCCTCAGCTCACATAGAATGGATGCAGTGAAGCGAAGGATGAAAGACATGCAAGAATGGTACGTAAAGTTATGTATAATGTAACAGCAAGTTGTGGGGACTGTGCCCTTCCACACTGATTGAATTTTTGAAAACAAGTATATGTTATTACATTAAAGCTTTTTTTTTTACTTAATTAAATAATTAATGTAAGTACAATCATTGAACATTAAAATAATAACTTTGGAATATATTCATCATATATCTAGATTACTTCTCAATGTTTTTCAGGTCACGGGCCAGGCACTGGCATCCACCTAACCTGCATGACTTCAAACCTTGCTCCAGGATCACTTACCACTCCACTATCAATTCAGGGCCCCCATACCATTTTTTAAAGACTAGTCAAGTGCAGTAGTGAGAAGGGAGGAAAGAATATAACAAGGAGTTTGATCTGTAAATAACTATGAATAGTTGAAATAACTCATTACCTCCAGACTAACTCTTTGTCCCCTCTTAAGTGGCAAAAGTCCCACAGACTGGGCTGGAAATCAGGCTCTACTATACTCATGGGCTGCATGATCATACCCAAGAGTCCCTAAACATTTCCCCTTTTATAAAATAGGATATTTGTAAAGATCTCAGTATAGTACAGTTAATTATTACACATGGTGGTCTTACTTTTTCAGGGAACAGGAGGGTAAACCACATAGTAGCAGACCATCTCATCTTTTCCCTAAGTTCTTAGTTTTTAAGACAATCTTATTTCACCCAGGTTTCCTGGAAAGCACTGACTTCAAAACCACCCATTATTTTATAGTTAGGAATGAGCTATGAGTCTATGGCTAGAAAAAATGGTATCAATTATGGGATGAAAAATACATACACAAAGAAAACTCTGACTTGCAAAAAAGAAAGCTATTAAAAAAACCTTAGTAAAATGCCCCATTGCGACAATAAGAACATAAAATGAAACATGCCATTTCTAAGGGATTCTTTAACTGAAAACTTCAAAACAATATGATTTCTATCACAGCTCATTATGAAAGGAATCACACAGCTTTGCTTATGGCCTATATGCAGTTCAATTAATCACATAATTGAGATATAAAATCAACTATTTATCAGTAGTACATAATATTTGCATAATGAATCCTTTCTGGAATCTGACAGAGAATAAATTTCAAATAAAGACAATTATTATTTCAACGCACAAACTTTTCATCAAATAAACCTTCTACTATACACTATTATATACCTTGTCATTATTTAGATAAAATGCACAGTATAATACAGTAAAATTATGGATTTACTTGACAGTGGGACACCTAAAGCCTGCCTTTTACGCAAGTCTGATTGCTTACTTGATTGACTGCCAATCCACTGTAACTGTGAGAGGAGAGCTGCGGACAGCAGTAAATGACCTGCCTCGACACGCAGGCACAGGACACTGAAACAAAAGTAATTCACGTTCACATCTTGATAAACTATAATCACAGCTCAGAAAAATTCAAGTTAAAACATTTCATTTAATATTGTTTTAAAAGTTTGTCTCAGGATGCTAGTAAAGTAAAATCCACTGAGAGATTAATGACTTTCTATTTTCTCCTGCAACAATTGAATATCAAGAGCTTTTGAGGCACTTTTCCAACTGATCCTTCTCTCTTACTGCTCTTACTTGGCTATGGGTATGCAAGGTGCTTTGCCCGCCTCCCACACTAAGCACTTACTGCTTCCTCTGTGCCCATGCCATCTCCCGCTCCTTCAATGCCCCCTCTCATTCTGTCCCACACACCCAATGCTAATGCTCTCCTTTTAAAAAACTGTTCCAGAGTTTTCTTTAATCCTCAGCTTTCTCATGTAGGTTCCTTTTGTACTTTCTGTACAGTGTAATATTTATCATATCACACAGGCACTCTGTTTGGTGTTTGGATCTCAAGAAGCATTTATAATTTCAGACTGTGGCAGACTGTATTTGCCAAATATGACTGTAACAATATTTCTCTTCAAGCCTTTTGAGAACCTTGCTACTCCTCCAATAAGAAATGGAGTCTAATTCCTTCTCCTGGTATTTGAGAAGGCTTGTGACTCACTTTGCAACCAACAGAATGTGGCAGAGTGATGCTGCCTGACTTCTGAGACTAGCTCACAAAAAACAAGGTCATTTCTGCCTACCACCTGGACTTCCTTGTCTTGAAGCTGTCAGCAACCATATAAGCAGCCTGAGTCCCCTGAGCTGCTACACTATGTGCAAGAGGCCCAAACTAGCCCACCTAGAGAGACCACATGGAAAAGAGAACGGCTGGCCAGTCCCCAGCCACCTTGCTATACCCCTGCCACCATCTGACTATGACTCCATGAGAGGCTTAGAGCCAGAACTAGCCAGATGAGTAGTTCCTCTAAACTCCTGACCCATAGAAATCATAAGAACTAATAAAATGATGGGCTTATTTTTGGCCACTGAATTTTTGGGTGATGTGTTATGCAGCAATAGTGGCTAGAATAGATATCGCCTGAAACAGCCATCTTTCTGTCACTTCAAATCCCCACAGTTCAGACACATGGAGGACCTCTTCACATTACTCATGAGTCAATGCTACTACTTACTTTATTAGAGCGCATGAAAATACCCTGAACAAATACTGTCTAGAAAATATCTGGTTTAAGGAGGTCAGGGCTGCAGTGAGCTGTGTTCATGCCACTGCACTCCAGACTGGACAATTGAGTGAGACCCCGTCTTAAAAAAAAAAAAAAAAACGAAGAAGATTTAAATTCTGGCCTCTGAGCTAAAGGCTGTATCTTGAACCTTAAGCCAAGACAAATAGTAGATGAAACCCATCTATCAACACCACCTATTATTCAGAACCAATAGCTGAATTTCACATATCCTCAGAAATTTCAAACATAAACATCTTATGTCTCCCTTTTTAATTCTTAAATGATTATTTACCTCACTAAGGATTCAATCCTTTACATGAGCAAAAATTTAGCAAATGTTAAATTTATTAAAGCCCAATGGTGACAGGGATGACTGCATTATACATCCATGGTAATGAGGGCTTAATTAATCAACTGGCGTCAGGACAAATAGCTTTTCGCCTAAAAATTAGATCACCAGTTTGTTTTTTTAAGAGGTGGGGGTCTCACTATGCTGCCCAGGCTAGTCTCAAACTCTAGGGCTCAAGCGATCCTCTTGCCTCAGACTACTGAGTAGCTGAGACTACAGGCACATGTCACTGTGTCCAGCTTAAATCCCTAGTTTTATGCCATTCACCAATGGCATAAATTCCAGATGGACAAAAGATCCAAAGATAAAAAACAAAACTTAGGAGTATCAGAAGCAAATGCATAAAATACGTTTATAATGTTTAAGTGAAGAAGGGCTTTTTTTTTTTTTTTTTTTGAGACAGAGTTTCGCTCTTGTTGCCCAGGCTGGAGCACAATGGCGTGATCTCACTGCAACCTCTACCTCCCAGGTTCAAGTGATTCTCCTGCCTCAGCCTCACAAGTAGCTGGGATTACAGGAATATGCTACCATACCTGGCTAATTTTATATTTTTAGTAGAGAGGGTTTCTCCATGTTGGTCAGGCTGGTCTCGAACTCCCAACCTCAGGTGATCTGCACACCTTGGCCTCCCAGTGTGCTGGGATTACAGGCATGAGCCACTGCACCCAGCCCAAGAAGGGTTTCTTAAGCAGGGCATAAAATGTACAATTTATAGAGGAAAATACATCAATTTGATCATGTCAAAATGTAAACCCATACAACAAAAAAACCCATAAAGTTAAGGACAAACCCAAGACTGGGAGAAGATATCTGTAATGTATATAACCAATAATAATTAGTATCTAGAATATAAATAACTCCTATAAATAAACCAACAAACTAACAGAGCCAGGCACAGTGGCTGGCACCTGTAGTCCCAACTACTTGGGAAGCTGTGATGGGAAGATCACTTGAGCCTAGAAGTTCAAGACTGCAATGAGCTATGATCATTCCACTACACTCCAGCCTGGGCAAAAGAATGAGACCCCATCTCTAAAGAACAAAAATAAAAAATAAACCAATAAACAGGAAAATGAACAGAAGATATAAATAGAAAATTTAATAAAGAAGGAAAGTGAATGGCCAATAAAGATATGAAAAGATGCTCAGTTACAACAGAAAATCAAAAAAATTCACATTATAAATGCAATATTACTTACACCTACCAAACTGCCAAAAATGTAAAAGCCTAACAATACCAAGTGTTAATGAAATTATGGAGAAATAGAAACTGCTTAACACTACTAGAAGGGACGTAAGTTGGGAACAATACTCTGAACAGTTAACTTGGCAGCATCTAATACAGTTAAAAATAAGTACAACCTACAATTTAGGATTCCTCTGCTAAGGAGACATATACAAGAATGTTCTCTGCAGCGTCATTTCTAATTATAAAAAACTGGAAACAGCGCATTGTCTACCTCCAGGAAAATGGGTAAACAGTGGCTATTCATTTAAAGGAACACTCCACAATAGTAAAAATGAAAGAATTAGATACGTATTAAAATAGGTAGAACTCCAAAATAACCAAGTAAAAAAAAGTTGCATAATGTTACATTCAGTATACTATTTATGTAAACACAATGCAAAAAACTAACTCTACGTATATAGTCAAGAATGAAAATGCAAACTTAAAGAATACATGCCAATTTCAGAAGAGTGGCTGTATCTGGGGAGCAAATAAAGGGAATAAAACTGAGGAGAACAGAGAGACTTCAAATTTAACTACATAACCATCTTTTTGTTACAAATTTAAGCTAAAATAACAAAATATTAATTTTGCCAAATCAGAGTAGGTAAGTGTTAATTACATTACTCTCTGCACTTTTCTATAGTTTTCAAATCTAGTTTAAAAAAGGTTAATAAAGATTTTAAAAAATCACTTCCAAATAGAAGAAATAAAGAGGAAAAAAAAAAAAAAACTTGGTGTGTATAACTAGAAGTCAACAAAAATATGAACGGAAGGGATGCAATTATAACTTTAGGAAAATGATTATCCCTGGGAATGCTATAGGAAAGGGTAAAACACAGACACTAATTGTGCCAGTAATGCTTTATATCGTTAAAAAATGTGTCTGGAGTTGAAAAATGTAAATTTGGGGTGATGAGTAGTGGAATGTTTTATTTATCTCTACATTTTTAACCAGAAGTATTTCATAATATAAAAGCAGAACACTGAAAACAAAAAATAAAAATAAGCTCTGTGTTCAAAAACATTGGGAAAAGTTTTCTGTATTCTGTATTCTGATTTGCCTTCTTTATCAAGATAAAGAAGCAGTTAAAGAACATAGCATTACCTTTGTAGGAAGACTGTATTTTCCATCTGGAAGAGACAAACTCTGAACTTCTCCACATGCAGCACAAAGAAAAGCCATCTTGGTGCAAAGAGGCTTTATATTACTGACACGAACCACTGTCCCTCTTAAAGCAACGTATTTGCCATAGTAATTTGCTCGGACATTCTTCAGCTGTGTCAAAGGCTCATAGTTGTACACTCTAAAATCAAACAGGAAGTAATGAACACAAAGTTTAGGTTGTTTATATTTTCACAAGTTCCTTTTAGGAGCAACTATGGAATTCCGAAACCAAATCATCCATTTGATATATCAGAAATCTCACAAAAATTAAACCATTCTTAAAAAGAAACGATGCTAAATCTTCCTTTTTCTTCTTATCTCATAGGCTGTTCTCAAGGAAAAAAATAATGCCAAAAGGAAAATCTACAGATTAAAAAAACTTTGAGTTTTTAAGTTCTTTTCAAAGAACTGCTAGGAAATGTCTTCTATAAATTCTGGAAAAGAAAAACAAAACCTGATGATTACCTATAATGAATTCTTCCAATAAATTTAAAATCTTAAAGATGAATTCAAGAAAAGCTAAATAATTTCATTTATTCCCTTGTATCTAATAGAAACCTAGTAATTTAACAAAATACACACCACTCAGTGTATTACAGAGTGAGTATATCCCTTATCGAAAATGCTTGGAACCACAAGTATTTTGGATTTTTTGGACTTTTGAATATTTGCAACATTACTAGTTGAGTATCCCTAATTCAAAAATCTGAAACGTTCCAATGAACATTTCTTTTCAGTGTTATCTCATGGCTAAAAGTCTTACATTTTGGAGCATTTCAGATTTTACTTGGATTAGGGATACTAAACTCATACATGGATTATTAAACTTACAAGGCAGGATCTTGTTAAGTTCATATCCAAAATCAATGTTTAAAAAATTTGCACGTTAGGAAATCAACATTTTCTTCCTTATTTAGGAAATACCTGTTATGATATCTTTGAATAATTTTCAATCAGTTTATTTCAATGTGATGATCAATGAGATGGTAAGGAACTCATACCCTTTTTACTGATTTCCTTGTTTTTATAAAATGAGGGTTCTCATTCTTAAATGGCCTTTAATGCCCCATTCTAAGTAATGCTTTAATACATCAAATTCCTTACCTTGCATGAATATGCGGCACATTTACCATTGTTTCTCCATCAGTAGACAATCCTTCCTGGGCTTGTAACTCAGCTGCATGCCTTTCAAGGTCTTTAGTTAATACCTAAACAGGACAGACATTTACTCTGAAGTTGGAAAACAAAATACTCTCTTTATACAGAACACTATTTTTATAGAGAATATGTTTATGAACAAAATCTGAATAAAAACAGAAAACTTTAACAGCCCTTTAAAAATCTAACATTTAATTATTTGTTTTTTGTTTTTCTTTTTGAGATGGAGTCTTGCTCTGTTGTCCAAGCTGGAACACAGCGGCGCAGTCTCAGCTCACTGCAACCTCCACCTCCCGGGTTCAAGGGATTCTTCTGCCTCAGCCTCCTGAGTAGCTGGGACTACAGGCATGTGCCAACCATGTTGGCCAGGATGGTCTCAATCTCTTGGTCTCGTGATCCACCCACCTCGGCCTCCTAAAGTGCTGGGATTACAGGCATGAGCCACTGCGCCCGGCTTCTAATATTTAATTATGACTACTTACTTTAAGGTGAATTACGTTTTATTTTGGATTTTGCTGTCCCCGAACTGAAAAACTCCAGCATCCCTGTCTGCTATTTTCTGTTCCAACTAAACCTAACATTAAAAGCCCTTATAGTAGTCCCTAAAACCATAACCTCTTGATTCTAATAAAAAACAAAAAAACAAACAAACAAAAAAACGCTTTCCTACTTCTCTATATTCATTGATTAATCAAGACAGGGAAAATAAAGATGACTATTAAAATATCTAACACTCACTCCCTTGGCATTTAACATTAAATAATATAAACAGGCTGGGTGCAGTGGTTCATGCCTGTATCCCTAGCACTCTGGGAGGCCAAGGTGGGTGGATCACCTGAGGTCAGGAGTTTGATACCAGCCTGACCAACATGGTGAAACCGCATCTCTACTAAAAATACAAAATTTAGCTGAGCATAGTAGTGCACGCCTATAATCCCAGCTTCTTGAAAGGCCAAAGCAGTAAAATCGCTTAAACCTGGGGGTTTCAGTGAGGCAACATCATGCAATTGCACTCCAGCCTGGGCAACAAGAGTGAAACTCCATCTCAAAATAAATAAATAAACAAACATTTAATACCTACTGTGTACTGCAGTTTGCTGACAACCTATGATGCATATATACAGCTGTAATTGTTATAAGGAACATAAAGATGTACAGACAAAATACCACGCAAGTTTTGAAAAGCAGTCATGAGAAAGGTTTTACAGACAGACAACTGAACTAGGCCCAAATAATCTGTCTACGTGAGGGGAAGGGGATTCTACGTGGAATAGACAGCATATGCAAGAGGTAAGAGAATGCCCCTCTGAATGTCCCAGCACTTTGTGTATGCCTATCCTGTGAGTTGATACTCTTTACCTTGAAGTATTTATCTGTTTGCTATCCTAAAATGTGCTCTCATATATGCTGTGTTACCTGACCCTGGAAAAAACTCAGGCAGGCATAGAACAAATTATTTCCATTTTATATACAGGGACACTCAGTGGTTTGCCTCATGCCACAGAACCTAAATCTAAGGTTGCTCTGTTTTGCTCTAAGTTCATAACTGATAATACCATGATTCCTTGTCTTATCTTCCCTATGAGATTGTATAACTTCTTGAAAGCAAGGTTTAATTTCTGCACAATCTTTAGCAAAATTAAGCAAATCCAAATAAGTTAGAAGTATTTCATTTAGGCAAGCTGTTGTATATAAAATGAATGGTATCTTTCAGAACGAAATTGCAACCTCTCAGTTCAGGCCAATGTCTTTTCATAAAAACTAAGTGTCTCTTTGAGAAAGTAGTCACTGCAAAATCGTCCTTTAAACTTAGACAAAGTGTGCGTGTGTGTGCATACATTTAAAAAGTTTAAACAAAAGTATGCATAAGACAAACAGTTACCTGATGTATTGCCAAACCCATGTAAGCCAAGGTTTTCTCAGGTGCATCTCTTAGTTCATTTGCTATATCTGGTAACAAGTTAGTTACTTCATCATCTTTTGTCAGTTCTTTAAAATCCACCAAAATACTTCCTTTTCTTTCTATTTCATCCTATAAAATATAAAAGTGTAAAAACAATCATTGCTTTTCTGTAGTCAATTACCACAACTGAGCATTCTATCACACACTTTGAGAAAGCCTACAATGTTTATATGTGATAATGGTAAGTACAATAAAAGTAAAAGCTTTGTGCCAAGCATGGTTCTGATATTTAAAAAATATTAACTTATTGATGCCTCTTAACAAACCTTTGAGGTAGGTATTTATACCTCTATCTCCAAATGAAAGAGAAAACTGAGGAACAGAGAAGTAATTAATCAAAGTCCATACTGCATTAAGTGGCAGAACTGAGGTCTGAACCAAGGCAGTCTGACTCCAGTGCCTATGATCATAATCACCAACACCTCAAATACATTGATAAGATGGCACGTGACTGGTAGCTTTACTGTAGAGGAATCTCACCTTGTCATAGAAATCAATATGCCTTGTGAAAAATTTTTCAAATGCTTGAATCTTCTCAATCAAAGGAGAGCTATCACTGTAAACTAAGCCAACAAATAAGGCATTAACACTAATAATCACACATGTACAAACATATTTTTCATTATATAAAAGCAGCACTATATACATGGTAGATGATTTTTTTCTAATTGCTTTGTATTTTGATTGCATTCATATAAGAACTGGTATAGAATTTACACTTAAAATTCTAAAACAAATTTAGGTATTCATAATGTGAAATGCAGACACAAAGTCTCTCTCTCTAAAAGCCCCAATATTTGGGAAACACTGTTTTGAATCTTTGACACCTAATAGGACATGTTAGTTCAAATAACTTAGACAATAAGCTTAAACCAAAAATTATAATAAAGCCAAAGCGAGACACACAAACTAAACTTATTCTGAAACTGAGCTGAAGACAATCACAGTCTTTCCTGAGATCAGGAGACATACCAACAGACCACTTGACTCTGCTGGCAAAACTGAAACTTTTTTTTTTTTTTTTTAATACTCTAAAGTTCTGTATTTTCAAATACATCTTCCACAGAAGAACAGTATAATAAAGTAGTTAGGAAGTACAAATGGTCAAGGCTAAGGCACCTCTTGAACTCCAACTTTAGGACAGTCCAAAGATCACTTACAGTGTTCTATGCTACCTGCTAGGGGGCTAATGTGAGTGCTGGTGGCTAACGCATCCTAAAGGAACAAAAGATAATTCATGAAACAGATTCTATTGATAGAAAAAATAAAATAGATTCTCAATAAAGAAAACATTTATAAAGTATTCATTCACAAAATGATTACTGAGTGCCTGGGGGGCAGGGAGGGTCCTGGATCTCAATAGTCTAGTGATTAAAACACACACACACAGACACACACACACACATCCCTCATGAGGCATTTTATACACACACACACACACATCCACCCCCCCCCACATGAGACATAAGAAACAAATCGATATTTTAACTGCACAGAAAAGATAGTTCCCCACACCTATACAGACTGATGTAGGTTAACTGGTATTCTTAATTATCAAAGGGAGATTCCTTACCTGTGTTTCTACACAAGCTGTATTTATTATTGTCCCTTGATTTCAAGCCCACTGTTTTATTTTCTGCTCTGTGATGCTGTAATTCACATCTGTACCCTACATTTCCCAGATTAAATTCTGCCATTTGAAGGCACTTTAGAGACTGGAGGGTGGCAGGAAGCAAGAAAGGAATTTATTCTTGTTTCCAATTCTTTTTAGCATCTCTGCAGCTGCAGAAGATAACTAAACTATAGTGCTAGCCTCCAGTTCCAAGCACCACTGAGTCATGCCCCCTCAGCTACCAGTGACAACCAGCTTCATTTGCCTCACTGGTCTGAGCACAGCTCTGGAAGGTAGCCTTCAGAAGTCCAAGCATAGCTTTGTAGGGTGCCTCTTAGCAGTCAAAATAACAGTTATTCTGTGATCTCTCCCACCTTTGAATTCCTACATTCTGGTAACCTCAGAACTTCTTTATTCTCTTAACTATAAGGATGGCTTGCTGTTTCCTAAAGTTACTACTTTCTAGGGGGTTACCTCAATATTTTCATTCTGCTCTTTCAGTCTTCCATTTTTGATCCAATTTCTTGCATTAAATTCCCTTTTTGAAATACATAGTATGGTTTCTGCTTTCCTAACTTATATAAAACCTAAAATGCTTTTGAAACATGAACATCATTTAGTTCTTTGGGTGAACTAAGATTAAAGCAGGTATATGTCAGTAAGTAAATTATAGTAATACGAGATGTAGCATACAAAGACAAGTTAAGAAAATATGACTTATGGTGCTTTTTGCACTTTTTTAACCCTACCTTCAGAGAAATAAAGCTTCCAGCCTTTATATGGTATGAGTTGATCCAATGTTGACTGCACTAACTGTGGGGTCTTTGTTGAAAGCAAAGACTGTGAGGTTTGTTCTGAAAAATAATAGAATACTAGGTTAGTAGAAACGGAGTGAACATTTTTCAAATTTGCTTCTGTTTCCAAATGAGACTCTCATTAATAGAGTATCTAATTGGAGGTTTTAGTAAGAATTTGGGACATCAGTGTTCAAATACTTACTAAGGAGTAGTATAAAAGACAAACCGAAGTATGAGATAAACCACCTTGAATGATGGACATGAATTGCTTCCTTCATGAAGAGAAAAAAATTGAACAATCATTGGCCACACCTACCAGAAGTATGTTTTCCTGTGGTTCTACTCAGATCAGGTCTGTGTTCTCTTTCTCTCCATTTTCCTGAGAAGTTCCCACCACCTCTTCCTCTTTTCCAGCTTTGAAATCTTCCTCGTCCAAATCCTCTGCCTCTATAATCTCCATTCATCCCTCCTAAAAGATGGATATTTAAAAGGTCTTCACCAAAGCTGTAAATAGTGCTCCTAAAAATGTATTAAGGTAATAAAAACGGAAAAATTAATGTGTTCTAGCTTTGAGACTAGCAAATAGTCTTGCAAAGTTGTACGCCTATGATACAAGACTCAAATATTCTGCAGTTAGGTTTCTAATCTCTATAGCTTTCTAAGGTATACCATAATTTAATAGTTTATTAAATATAGTTTATACTAGACGCTAAAAATAAGGAAAGGTGCTGTATCTGTTTACAAGAAGTCTCCATCACAGAAATGAAAATAGAACAGGTAATTAACTCTATGAAAACTTGTTTGCAGCATTTGAGACTTAAAGGACAGGACAGGATGAACGTAATTCTAGCCTGTGAGACACTAGGGATACATCATCATAGCTTCTTACATACAGGCAGTCCTGCAGTGTCACAAGCCACTTCCTGTGCAATTTTTCTGTGAACCCAAAACTGTTCTTTGAAAACAGAAGTCTACTTAAAAATGATTCCTATCCAAAGTATAAAAGTAAATAAAGATATATCTGTGTGCTGTACTGCAATTCATTTCAAAAGAACTTATCCGAATCCTTAAAGGGCTTTAGTTAATAAACAAGTTAGTAACTAGAAAGTTCACGATTTAACGGAATGACATTCGATAATTAACTAGGCATTATGCATTACGAAACTGATGCTCAAAGAAATTAAGAAAACCGACCAAGATCAAAGTTTGTTGACAGTACAGAGATAAAACTCCTTCAGGTTCCCAAGCTGAGGTGCTCCTTCAGCAACGCTGCGTGCCTACCCTTCTCAAACGAGCCAATATGGTGAACAGCAACAAATTCAACAAAACCTAAGTAGGAATGAAGAACGAGTAAAAGAGCCACAGTCGGGCAGCTGCGCTTCGTTACTTTATTTACGTCTCCTAAGGCTAAGTTCTTCCTTGTCGGGACAGACGTCCCAAAGCTGTTCTAGTTCACAACTGAGCCGGCTCCAGGATACGCGCTGATCTGTCGGGCCGGATTCTCCCTCCCTCCCTCCCGTAGGGAAGCACCACGGGGCTAGGAGTCTCCGGGATCTGAGCTCCCAGGCAACTCCCGCCAAGTCCGCGGTTCTCTTCAGCCGCAGCTTTCCTGTCGTTCCCGCGCGGGGCTGGATTCCATCTGTCTCAACGGCTCGGGAACCTCAGTTTCCCCACCACAGCTTCCAGAATGTGCCTATAAGCGCAGAACGCCGCTAACACGCCTCACGGGAAAGTCAGGTCTTCCCCTAAATTCTTTTTTGGCGCTTCTGTGATGCAACTTTCGCTCTAAGAAGCGCCACGACGTGGGGGCGGGGCGAAGTGTAGCCAATCAAGGAGTTTGGCCAGACGGAAGTCGTAGGGCTTCCGGAATCGGTCTTGAGGGCTGGACCGGAAAGCGGAAGCGGCGTGCAACACGTGGGGGCGGTGCCGGTCGGAGGGCTCCAAATCCGCCGGTTTGTGGGAAGCGAGGCTGGCGGTGGCGACACCGGAGGAGGAGGGGCGAGACGCCGTGGAGCACGGCGACCGGCTGAGTGTCATGGAGGGCTCAGAGGAGCAGCCGGGCCCACAGCCACAGCATCCCGGAGACCATCGCATCTGCGACGGTGACTTCGTGGTGCTGAAACGAGAAGATGTGTTCAAAGCAGTACAAGTCCAGCGGAGAAAGTAAGTCAGGTCCCTGACTTTAGGGGTCCCCCGCCCCTACCTTGCAGATATTCCTTCCTTCCAGGTCTCTCCACAGATCCCTCCCGCCAGGGTGCCATTCTTGGCCCTCTCGGTCCCCGTTCCACGCCTTCGTTGTCTCTTCGGGTCTTTCTGTCACAGAGGGCTTTTCCACCAGGATCCTATCTTCGAACCTCGTAATCTCCCCTAACCTTCCTGTTTTTCCACAGAGACACCCTCCATGATTTCATATCTGGCCGTCCATCTTCAGCATCCTTTTCAGTCTTTCCACAGAGTTTCTTCCCCAGAATTCCATTCTTGGCCCTAGGGTGCCCGAATGCCTCCCTCTCCACACCCTTAATCACCTGTCCTGAAGTTCTTTCCCTTGGACCTTGGGATCTTCTCTATCTTCCCACAAACACCCCCTCTTTTCTTCACTCTAGGGTCTCATCCTTGTCTCCCAGAGTCTCCTTCAGGTTCCCCTTTTTCTTCCACCATAGACCCTCCTTCCTCCCTAATTCCTGAGCCAGGATCTATCCCACACACACACAAAAATGAAACCTCTCCTACCTAGTCTGGCTTTCCAGCCTCTTCTCTAACCAAACAGGATGCACAGAATAAGTGAAGGAGACAATCCCCATAGAATGTGAAATCACTTTGAATTTCTCTCCTTTCACACCAAAGGATTCAAAACTGGAAAAATTGCTAGAAAGCAATTTGCTCAAGACCTCAGAACTCAAAATTAGGTTTGGTTTGTGCCCATGCTGACTAGTATCACTCTGTTTTATAATAGCATAGAAGTGGGATTTTGATAACTTTCTGGAAGGGCTGGTGGGGTTACTGAGTCCTAATAGCTTATTAATGGTGAAAATTTACTGAGATGTTTGGATTAATTTATCCAAGAAATACAACCACAGTGTTTTTGTTTTTGAGACGGAGTCTTACTGTGTCACCCAGGCTAGAGTGCAGTGGCGCAATCTCATCTCATTGCGACCTCTGCCTCCTGGGTTCAAGCAGTTCTCCTGCCTTAGCCTCCTGAGTGGCTAGGACTACAGACAGGCACCATCACGCCCAGACAGTTTTTGTATTTTTAGTAGAGACAGGGTTTCACCATGTTAGCCAGGCTGGTCTCAAACTCCTGACCTCAAGTGATCCACCTGCCTCAGCCTCCCAAAGTTCTGGGATCACGTAAAGGCATGAGCCACTGTGCCCGGCCACAGTGTCTTTGGAGCTAGGTTATTGTATTACTTTTGATGGAGATAAGTTGAATGCAATGTCAGGAGAACAGCTTTCTGTAGACTAGGAAGTATGAGATTTGGAATTTCGGATAAGTAAGTACTTGTCAGAAATTATTTTACTCCTGGTTTAAGCAAACTGTTGACTGGTATTTAGGGTGAAGGAGGTATCATAAAATAGTCAAGAAACAAGTTTCCGGAGTACTAAGCTGGTGATAAACAAGCTTTTCACACAAGCACTAATTCAGTAAAGAAAAAAAAGTTTCTTTTGTGAGGGCTTTGTTTCTTTTAGTCCAGAGATGTAATACCTGCACCAGCCTTTAACCATCTTTTTTTTTTTTTTTTTGAGAAGGTGTCTTTCTGTGTTGCCCAGGCTGGAGTGCAGTGGTGCGATCTTGGCTCACCACAGCCTCCACCTCCCAGGTTCAAGTGATTCTTCTGCCTCAGCCTCCCACGTAGCTGGGACTACAGGGGTGTGCTACCGTGCCCAGCTAATTTGTGTGTTTTTAGTAGAGATGAGGTTTCACTATGTTGGCCAGACTGGTCTTGAACTCCTGACTTCATGATCTGCCTGCCTCTGCCCCCCAAAGTGCTGGGATTACAGGTGTGAGCCACCGCGCCCGACAGCCTTTAACCATTTTTAAGTTCTTCTTTTCTTTTCTTTTTGAGACAAAGTTTCGCTCTTGTTACCCAGGCTGGAGTGCAATAGCGTGATCTTGGCTCACCGCAACCTCTGCCTCCTGGGTTCAAGCAATTCTCCTGCCTCAGCCTCCCGAGTAGCTGGGACTACAGGC